TCCTCATGCACTTCCACTCCTCGCGCGCCTCGGTGAGCCAAGGCTGCACCAGAGAGAGTGGGAACGTCCCGCAGCTCTGCAAGCTTATTGCCACTCCCACAGCTTCCTATTTACTCTCCCATGAAGGCAACCCACCGTTTATTGAAAGGTCATTATTTAAACCAGTGCTTCAGAATGACATGTACTTTTTTCAAAATTCACATGGCCAGGCTCCCCTCAGGACGTTATGATTCAATAGATCTGCTTTTTTGTTTTGTTTTTAATAGTTAAGTGTTCGCAAAAGGAAACAAGCTGAGCCTGAAGGAATTACAGAACTTGAAGTAAATGCTTCTTCGAAACAAGAGTTTTTTCTCTTAAAAAAAAAAAAAAAAAAAAAAAAAAAAAAAAAACACAGCGGGGGTCGGGGGCAGGATTAAAATTAGAAAGATTGTGTTAAAAGTTTTTTGTTTGTTTGTTTGTTTGTTTGTTTTAAGTGCTACCTTAAAATACTGAGGCCAGGCGCGGTGGCTGAAGCCTGTAATCCCAGCACTTTGGTAGGCTGAGGCACGTGGATCACCTGAGGTCAGGAGTTCAGGAACAGCTTGGCCAACATGGTGAAACCGTGTCTCTACTAAAATTACAGAAATTAGCTGGGCGTGGTGGCGAGCGCCTGTAATCCCAGCTACTAGGGAGGCTGAAACAGGAGAATCCCTTGAACTCCTGGGAGGCGGAGGTTGCAGTGAACCAAGATCGTGCTATTGCACTACAGCCTGGGCGACAGGGACTCCGTCTCCAAAAAAAAAAGTATTAAACATGTTTCTTAAAGAGAATACATTTAAGCTTCCAAGTGATGAAATTAAGTCAGCCTTTTCAGACGTCAAAATAATGTGTGAACCAAGTTTGAAAATCAAAGCTTATTTTTAGGATGAGTCTTTGATACCAATCCACGGGAAAAGGCTTATTTATGAATAAAATCAAAGGAAAACAAACTCATTGGAAAATCATTATAATTATTATAAACAAACCTTGAGAGCCAGGTGTGGTGGCTCAGGATTGTAATCCCAGCACTTTGGGAGGTTGAGACGACAGGATGGTTTGAGGTCAGGGGTTCAAGACTGGCCTGGGCAACATGGTGAGATGCAGTATCTACAAAAAATAATTTAAAAAATTAGCTGGAGGTGGTCGTGTAATCCCAATTACTGAGGAGGCTGAGGCAGGAAGATCACTTGAACCCAGAAGTTAAGCAGCAGTGAGCTATGATCACAACACTTTACTCCAGCATGGGCAACAGAGCAAGAAAGACCCTGTTTTTAAAATAAAATAATAAAATAAATAAACCTAGAGTTTATACATGAATTTAGTGTATCAGTTAATCCTCCTCCCTCCTGATTTATAAGACCAGAAGTTTTGGATTGTTTCAGAAAGCAGTGCTTTTACTATTTGCATAAAAGGAATGTTTTGATGCATAAAAGGAATGTTTTGATGTAGAACTTTCTTGAAAAGCTTTGGTCTTTCCTAAAGTATCAGTTTACCTTTCTTGTGTATCATTGATCAAAAGAAACTCATGCCTTCATCTCATCTGTAGCACACCATAGTTTTATGTATCCTTGAAGCTGTTTTCTCCAGAACCCACGTTTCTAAGTGTGTGCAAAGCTGTATCACTGGGATTTCCAAGGAATGCACTTCTGGATTCCACTGCTGCATGTTGTTTGGTTGGGTGTTTTGTCTTAGTAAGACATTGTTCTTTTTTTTGTAATCTGATAAGACATCTATTTCTTGGAATTGTTTTTCATTTTTTATGGATTTTTTTCAAATTAGTGTTTTAGAAAAGCTGAATGGAAGCAAACATTGCCTTTTTGTGTTAGAAAATATCTGTATTTTGTCCTTGATAAATAGCATGGCTAGGTTTAGAAGTGAAGGAACAAAATTTGGACCCAGCCACCCCAACCCTTATGCACAGACACATAAAAGCACACTTTCAAGGCATTATGACTTTATTGTCTGTGATCCAGCATTGTCTTAAGAAGCCTGATGCCAATCTGAGTCACATTCCATTATGGGTAATCTATTTCCCTCTCTGATAAATTGTCTTTCCTTAGATATTTCATCTATGTGTTCCATCTTTTTTCATTTTTTCTGCTTTACATTTGGCAGGCCCTTTCAGTCTGAAAACTACAATTTGTATCATCAGTTTAGGAAATGTTCTTTGATTTTATTCGTCTCCATTTTTCTATTCTCATTTTCTGAAGTTGCTATTGGACAAATGTTTTATCTCCTGGCTCTTCGATACCTCTACCATTCTTAACTTTTTCTTGATCTTTTTGCTATATGTTGTGGAAGATTACCTCAGTATTATCTTGCAGTTCACTAATTTATCCTCTTCAATGTCACTTTTTTTTTTTTTTTCCTTGAGACAAGGTCTCACTCCATCGACCAGGCTGGAGTGCAGTTGCACAATCTCATCTCACTGCACCCTCAACCTCCTGGGCTCAAATGATCCTCCTCCCTCAGCCTTTGAGTAGTGGGGAACACAGGCACAAGCCACCACACCCAGCTAATTTTTGTATTTTTGTAGAGACGGGGTTTCACCATGTTGCCCAGGCTGATCTTGGAACTCCTGAGCTCATGCAATCCACCCACCTCGGCCTCCCAAAGTGCTGGGATTTCAGGTATGAACATGACACACCTGGCCAGGGTCACTTTTATAAGCCATCTCATTTTTTTAAATTTCCGTAACTGCTTTAATTTCCAAGAGTGTTCCTATTCTGTTCTTTTCACAATAATCTGTTCTTACATTATGGATGCAGTAGCTTCTGAAATCTCTATGAAAATTATTAGAATTCTAAAGTTATTAGAATTTCTTTTACTATAGCCGGTCAAGGTGGCTCACACCTGTAATCCTAGCACTTTGAGAGGCCAAGGCAGGTGGATCACAAAGTCAGGAGATCGGAACCATCCTGGCTAACATGGTGAAACCCTGTACTAAAATACAAAAAATATTTTAGTATTTTTTGTACGAAAAATACAAAAAATTAGCTGGGCGTGGTGGCATGTGACTATAGTCGCAGCTACTTGGGAAACTAAGGCAGGAGAACTGCTTGAATCCAGGAGGCAGAGGTTGCAGTGAACCGTGTTCATGCCACTGCACCCCAGCCTGGGCAACAGAGCAAGACTCCTTCTCAAAAAAAGAAAAAAAAAAAAATCTTAAGTTACCTTTTGTTTCCATAATTACTTAAATTTCCTGCAGGGCCAGGTGTTGTGTTTTGGAAAAGCTGCTGAAATGACTCTGATGTTGATTCCTCGTGAAGAGGAATAGTTAGAGGAACTTACCTAAATGATTAAGTGGTCTTTTTTTTTTTCTGTAGGTCTCAAAGCACTACAGAACATTTACATTTGAAATCAGAATGAGTACAAGGAAAGGCTGAACATACGGCCTAACCTGCTCATCTTACTCAAAGATGAGTTATCTGAATTCCAGTGTTTTATCCAGCTTTGAGATCTATGGAAAAATAGCTGATTGTGTAATTCTTAAAATTTTTACATGTTCAGTTGCTTGTCTCTCTCACTGAACTGTCAGGTCCTAGATGGCAGTAATCGTATCTTTCTGGTTCACCCTTGAATCCCCAGTCTCTTGCTGAGTACCTGATAAGAGTTGGTACTCAAATACTTGTTATGTGATTAAGTCATAGTTCCCCCACTTGGTCCTTCAGTGTTCTGCAGACTCATTATAGGTCCATCTAAAATTTGTACTGGTGTATGGCTCTCATTGTTACAAAGGTGTAAGTTACACTGACCGGAAGTCAGCTTCCTTTTAACTCCTCTAGGTTATACAGCTTAGGCAGAATGGTTTTGAATTTTGTTTTGTTTTGTTTTTGAGACAGTCTTGCTCTGTCACCCAGGCTGGAGTGCAGTGGCATGATCTCGGCTCACTACAACCTCTGCCTCCTGGGTTCAAGCAATTCTCCTGCCTCAGCCTCCTGAGTAGCTGGAACTATAGGTGTGTGCCACCATGCCTGGCTAATTTTTTATATTCTTAGTAGAGACAGGGTTTCACCATGTTAGCCAGGATGGTCTCGATCTCCTGACCTCATGATCTGCCCGCCTTGGCCTCCCAAAGTGCTGAGATTACAGGCATGAGCCACCTCACCCAGCCCAGAATGTTAACAAAATGTGAGATGACTGCTAATCTAACTATTCCACCCCACTACTGATGAACAGATAACCTTCACCAGACCAATCTCAATGATGGAGTTAAACACACATACAGGAGCATGTGTGTTTACCTTCAAAATTAACAACTCCCAGCAACATTTTTTTTAACCTTTTATTTATTTATCTTTTTAAGATGGAGTTGTGCTCTTGTTGCCCAAGCTAGAGTGCGATGGCACCATCTTGGCTCACTGCAACCTCTGCCTCCCAGGTTCAAGCGATTCTCCTGCCTCAGCCTTCCCAGTAGCTGGGATTACAGGCATGCACCACTACGCCCAGCTAATGTTTTTTTTTTAAATTTTTTGTAGAGATGGGGTTTCACAATGTTGGTCAGGCTCATCTCGAACTCCTGACCTCAGGTGATCCACTTGCCTCGGCCTCCCAAAGTGCTGGCATTACAGGCATGAGCCACTACACCCAGCGACACATAGACTTTAGAGCAGGCGTCCCCAAGCTTTTTACACAGGGGGCCAGTTCACTGTCCCTCAGACCGTTGGAGGGCCACCACATACTGTGCTCCTCTCACTGACCACCAATGAAAGAGGTGCCCCTTCCTGAAGTGCGGCGGGGGGCCAGATAAATGGCCTCAGGGGGCTGCGGGCCGTAGTTTGGGGACGCCTGCTTTAGAGCAAATAACAATCTGAGTCTCCCACCAAATATAAATGTGATTATAATCATATAATCCAGCCTTTCTCAAAGAACATTTTTCAGGGTTAATTTCTCAAACCTATAACTAAATTCTCCAAGACAAAGTCTTATATTCCATGAGTACATTTCTCAAGGTCATAATTTGCAAATTCAACCATTACACATTTTGTGGGAAACCAGCTCACGTTTAATTGTGATATTTTAAAATTGTACAAGTATTTTGACATCTGCCCCCCACATTTAATCTCTTAAAATGACAGGAAAACATCAACCAATCACAGGTTTGATACGTTTACCCCTTCAGTTCCTGTTTGCAGCACCCAATATTCCTTTGAAATATCAAACAGACCAGGCAGTGGCCAACAGTAAATTTCTGCCCGCCGTCTCCCACCCCCAACAGATTTGAAAAGTTCAGGTTTAGTGTTGTTGCAGTGGCACTTGTCCAGAATTGGTACTTCCCCATAGTTGGGGGACTTTAAATGTACCAGTGGAAATAGCTTTTTCCCCTTCAAGGGGAAGAAAGAAAATCACTCCTCAAAACCCAGCAGATCTGGCTGTGAGGTTTTTCCTCCTATCTCATCTCTTCAGGCTATTTTTTTTTTTTTTTTTTTTTTTTTTTGCAGTGGAGCAAGAGAGACCAAAACCTAACCTGAGTTACAAGAAACAAGACAGTAATGGCTATAAAGGGAGTGACCAGGAGCAACTGGGACACTCCTTTACCTCCCATATCCAATGTATGTGCTTCACAGAAAAACAACAAAAATAACAAATCCACAAAATACAACAGCTAGAATTACAAAATCCATTCATCCAAGGGTGGTAGAAGGCAGGATGGAAAGGTGGGAAGGTAAATGGCACAGGGAGAAAAACAAAGTATTCAAATCAGTCCAGGCACAGGGACTGGCAAATGCTAGAAAATAGCTGCAGAAAAACCTGTGGTCCTTTCAGACTCACGGTGATGTTAAAAATCCACACACTGGTGTCGGAAACGTTCTGCCTTACGTGCACCAGAGACAAAAATTCCAATTCCTCAGAGAGAAGGGAATATGCAGAGGGCCCTTGGCAGAGTGGGTCCTGCCTTCCCTAGCAGGGGGAGGATGAACAAGGAAAGAGCTGCCACAGCCTCCTTCCAATCCCGCCCATCCCCTTTGGATGGCAGGCAACTCAGTGGCCTGCAGCAGCCTTCAGTTTGGCAGGAGACGGATGCGGTGAAGGGAACTTCTCTGCAGAAGTGGAGCTGCTCAGGGCAGACTGCAGGTAGACTGTCTTGTGGAAGAGTCTGTTGCTTAAGAAGACCACCAAGGAGAAGAGGCGCAACTGGAAGAGACTAAAAGGCAAGAAACCCACCTTGTTAGCTCCCCATTTAGAGTTATTTCTGTTATTTGACAACTTACCTGACATTAAAACTACACAGGGAAAGACAAGACAAATGAAATTTGATCAAGGAAATACAGATATTAGATACATGGATGGAACAGACAACTAAAAATGCATTGGAGCCAGGTGTGGTGGCTCATAGCTATAATCCCAGCACTTTGGGAGGCTGAAGCAGATGGATCACTTGAGAAAAAAATTAGCAGGGCATGGTGGCATGTGCCTGTAATTCCAGCTACCCGGGAGGCTGAGGCAGGAGAATCGCTTGAACCTAGGAGGTGGAGGTTGCACTAAGCTGAGATTGTGCCACTGTACTCCAGCCCAGGTAACAGAGCAAGACTGTCTCAAAAAAACAAAAAAGAATGCACCGGGCCCTGCTGCTGCCATGAATGTAATGCAGTTACTAGCACTGAAGTATGGTGGCACTTACAGGAAATAGTATTAATTCTGATTTGAGAAGCACTTTACTTTTTATTTTATTTTATTTTCCTTTTCCACCGAATCACAGTTCAACTGAGAAGTACTTTTCTATGGCTGACTTCAGGGTACAGACTTCAAGGAATGTCTGAAGGTATATTCTATCTGTGGTTGCAGGAAGAAGAGTTTCAAAAGAAAGTCAACTATTCCTCTTAAGATAAACAGTTAGCACCGCTGTATAGCAAGAGCATACATAAACCCAAAGCAAACCTAAGTCTCTAATACAAGTATCCACAGACTTAACCAAAATTGATCAAAGACCGATTGAGCTGTTTTTTGAAGTGATAAAACCTTTATTATTGCCAAAAACTCATTTTAAAACATATTTTACTACTGTTACCAATAAACTCATGTGGCCAGATCATAACAGCCTTCTACTTGAATGTGTATAATGGATCAATTTTGGAAAAAAATAATAAAGCCTCAAACTGACATAACTTTGGTGTTACAGCCCCAATCCTTTACACAGCAAAACTTCATCACTGGCCAGTACTTACTATGCTTTGCCAGGGGTCTTTGCTTCATTGGCGCTGATAATGAATAAAGGAAAGAGGATAGAGAAAAGGCAGCCACTGTTAATAAAACAAAAATAAATAATTAGTCACCTTCATAACAGCCATAACTTTGGAGAAGATATTAGATGCTCCAAGTTTCTTTGCTTCCAGTATAAATGTAATGGCTTGATGAAACCTCAATATATCAAACACACTTTTTTTTTTTTTTTTTTTTTTTGAGATGGGATCTCATTCTTTTGGCCCAGGCTGGAGTGCCTGAGGTGATCCGCCCACCTCAGCCTCCCAAAGTGCTGGGATTACAGGCGTGAAGCACAGCACCAGGCCCATCAACCACTCTTTCAAAAAGAACATATTTTTCTAAGCATTGGGTATGTTTAACATTGCTCTACAGCCTGGGGTGGTGGCTTATGCCTGTAAACCAGCACTTTGGGAGGCCAAAGCGAGTGGATTACTTGAGGTCAGGAGTTCAAGACCAGCTTGGCCAACACAGTGAAACCATTCTCTACTAAGAATACAAAAATTAGCAGGGCATGGTGGCATATGCCTGTAATCCCAGCTACTCAGGAGGCTGAGGCAGAAGAATCACTTGAACCCGGGAAGCGGAGGTTGCAGTGAGCCGAGATAGTGCCACTGCACTCCAGCCTGGGCAACAGCAGAACGAGACTGTCTCAGAAAAAAAACAAAAATTTCTCCAGGAGGCAACATAGAAAAAGAATATGGGATATAGGGACATGCAGACTAGATCTTCATGCTAACAAACGTAGAAACACCCTGCAGGTCTCCTGATGGACAAATAACTATGTAGAATGCATAACATAGAACCAAGCAAACAAAAGGTACTGACTTCATGAATTTTTATTTTTACTAGTCTCCTTCAAATCCCTCTAGCCAAATTACCTGATAATATATGAGGACTGCATTGCTGTGAGAAAAGCCAAGGGCAAACCAAACCCAAAGTAGTAAGGCCAATTCCTTTCTATGTTAGACAACCGCTGGTGCATTTCAATTCCTAAAACAAGAAAGCCAATACAATTAGTTACTATTTTTCCTTTTAGTCAAGTGACTAAACTATGGTAGACAAACCATGAGTTTTAGGTACAGATTTTTTATTATTATTATTTGAGACAGAGTCTTGCTTTGTTGCCCAGGCAAGAGTGCAGTGGTTCAATCTCAGGTCAGTGCAACCTCCATCTCCCAAGTTCAAGCAATTCTCCCAGCCTCCCGAGTAGCTGGGATTACAAGCACCCGCCACCACATCCAGCTAATTTTTGTATATTTTTAGTAGAAATAGGGTTTCACCATATTGGTCAGGCTGGTCTTGAACTCCTGACCTCAGGCAATCTACAGGCCTCGGCCTCCCAAAGTGCTGAGGTTACAGGTGTGAGCCACCGCACCTGGCCTAGGTACAGATTTAGAACAGAGCTACAGCATGTAAATTAGAAGTGTACAAATCTGATTTAAAGCATGTGAAGCTTTTTACAATTCCATAATCGTAATTTCAAAGCTGACAGGCTAAGTGAATTAAGAATTTCAGCACCAGCATCCTTTGTCAGGATTAGTATGGAACTAAGCAAGGTAGCAAATCCAGAGGATGCCATCCTGTAAGTATCAGTTAACCTCTTTCAACTCACACACACCCTGGTAAATATCTGAAGGTCTTTCTAAAATACCCCCAAAAGAATCCTGATGCTGACATCACTTCAGTTTCTCTGACTTAGAACAACTCATGCTCACTTATGCCATCTTACAGCCCAGTCAGAGATACATAATGTTAAGCACCAAAAAGATAATGCTATACTACCACATCCCCCCAGCCTCAAAGTTGAGAGTTAAACCCACTAAGCTGAATGTAAGCTCCCTCTTGCCAATGAGACTGCGTCCCTCCTAAGATGGTTTGCCTAGAGCCTGACTATTGAGTAGTTTAAGAAGTCTGCTTAGCAGTAGCATTTCCAAACTGGGCCTCCATTTTCTGGATTTCTTTAGATGGACTTACCTTTATTGAACCAACGATATTCAAAGCAGTACAGTGAGTAGAGAAGAGACATATGCAGGAGACTAACCAGCTGACCGACAAGATGGATGGGAAAGAGACTCACAAACATTCCCTGAAGAACAAATATGGAAAATCTTAATCCCAAAGCCTCGGTAATTTAACACCATTCACCTGCCATTCTCCAATCATGACTGACTGAGTAGCTTCCTAGCTGCTCCTCAAGTTTCTAAAAGACCAGGTACAGGCTTGGCACAGTGGCTCATGCTAGTAATCCCAATACTTTGGGACGCTGAAGCAGTAGGGTCTCTTAAGGCCAGGAGTTCAAGACTAGACTGAGCAACAAAGTAAGACCGTGTCGCTACAAAAAAAGTTTAAAATTAAGCTGAGCATGATGGCATGTGCCTGTAGTCCCAGCTACTCAGGAGGCTAAGGCAGGAGTATTGCTCGAGCCCAGGAGTTTGAGGCTGCAGTGAGGCTATGACTGTGCCACTGCATTCCAGCCTAGGTGACAAAATAAGACCCTGTCTTTTTTTTCTTTTTGAGATGTTTTGCTTTGGTCACCCAGGCTGGAGTGCAATGGCACAATCTCAGCTCACCATAACCTCCGCCTCCTGGGTTCAAGAGATTCTCCTGCCTCAGCCTCCCAGGTAGCTGGGATTATAGGCACCTGCCACCATATACAGCTATTTTTTATATTTTTAGTAGAGCTTACTTTTGTATTTTTAGTATATCACCTAAAGTCAGGAGTTTGAGACCAGCCTGACCATGCTGGTCTCAAACTCCAGAACTTAGATGATCCACCCGCCTTGGCCTCCCAAAGCGCTGGGATTACAGGCATGAGCCACCAGGCCCAGCCAACCCTGTCTCTTAAAAAAAAAAAAAAAAAAAAATTGACGTAACTATAAAAAGAAAAAAAAAGTTTCCACCTGGCAGGACTGGAAAATAACCAGAGTAGCAGAAAAGAGCAGGTAAATTCAATTTTTAAATTCTTATTTCTGTGAAAAAAAAAAAAATTTTTTTTTAATTATTAGCTACCACCAGCATATACATAATACTCTATAATCATAATACTCTTTGTGAAGCTCGCTCTAGTGAAACATTTTTTTTTTTTAAATAAAGTTGTCTGTGTGCCCAGAAGACCATTCTCACCTGAATGAGGAAAAGAGCCTGCAGCAAAAGGTTGAAGAGCATGTCAGCAATTATTTTGCTGACACTAGGGAATGGGTGAGGCTTCCTCCCTGATACCTCAAATGCCAGGTCAGCTATATCCTGTAACAGAGAAAGTGTACCAAAACACAAATTAAATGGCCTTGATATATATCCCCAAAGCTAAGGCCACTGGTCTGCCACTAGAGCCGCCAGTTAAGAAAAGGTTTATTTAAAAATAAGCTGGGCGTGATGGCATGTGCCTATAGTCCCAGCTACTCAGGAGGCTAAGGTAGGAGGACCGCTGCCTTACACGGTGGCTCATGCCTATAATCTCAGCACTTTGGGAGGCTGAGGTTAGCAGATCAAGATGTCAGGAGTTCCAGATCAGTCTGGCCAACATGGTGAAACCCTATCTCTACTAAAAATACAAAAAAAAAATAGCTGGGGATGGTGGCACACACCTGTAATCCTAGCTACTTGGGAGTCTGAGGCAGGAGAATTGCTCGAACCAGGGAGGCAGAGGTTGCAGTAAGCCAAGATCACGCCACTGCACTTAAGCCTGGATGACAGAGCCAGACTCTGTCTCAAACAAAAAAAAAAAAGAAAGAAAAGGCACCAGACATCTGGCAATGGGATGCTAAGAAAATAATTCCATTCTATAAGAAAAAAAAGTCTGAGCACAGTGGCTCATGTCTATAATCCCAGCACTTTGGGAGGCTGTGGTGGGTGAATCACCAGGTCAGGAGTTTGAGACCAGCCTGGCCAATACAGTGAAACGCGTCTCTACTAAAAATACAAAAAATTAGCAGATTGTGTAGTGGCGGGTGCCTGAAATCCCAGCTGCTTGGGAGGCTGAGGCAGGAGAATCACTTGAACCTGGGAGGTGGAGGTTGCAGTGAGCTGAGATCGCACCACTAAACTCCAGCCTGGCAACAGAGCGAGACTCAGTCTCAGCAATAACAAAAAAGGAACACAAAGATCGCTTTGCCTCTTGGCCAAGAAACATTAAGGCTGAAAAATATGGCCTCCTACATGCCTACTAACTTCACAGGCTGAAACTTGTCACCTGTCAACCAATCATGCTGTGGGACCCAGACTCCATTCTGCCCTGAACTTACCTGGAACCAAATAGCATTCACCACTTTGCTAAGCACAAACAAGGGGAGCACCCAGAGAGCACTGAAAATTGACGTGAGGAAGAATTCCAGCCATGACCAAACATCTCCATGCAGTGACGGGTCACCTAAGAAAGAGGAAACGAGTTATCAGAAATGGAAACCCAGAAGACCAAATGTGGAACCCCCATCTCGTGACTATTCTCTGTCTCCTCCTGGATCTTTCTAGTTCTTGCCAGCACATGACTATACTTATCCCAAAGAGTCTAACTGAGAATAGACACACCACATTCTGGCCACAATTCCAATTCAAATAAACCAGATATGTGCTGCTTATCTTGATGTAAACCTGCTTACATGATGGTTAACGAGATGCCACAGTGATTACCAGTACAATATTTGCAGGATACCATCTGGGTTTAAATCTCAGCTCTGCCACTTATTAATGGTTTAACCTTGGTAACTTACATTTTCTCATTCATAAAATGGATAGAATAACAGTACCCATCTTAAAGGGCTGTTGAAAGGTCTAAGTTAAAAAACAGCTAATGCTCTCATCTGAAGGCTTTAGGGGAATAACTAAATATAAATTTTTAAAAAGAATAAAACAAAAACAGCAAAAGCTCCTGGTACACAGGAAATGTTCAGTAACTGAGGGAGATTGAAACATCTCCCACTCTGTCTCCAACAGACAAGGAGCAGGGTATATACTTACCAATGATCCGGGCTGTTACCGACTGAAGCACAGGAATAAATACTCGATAAAACAAGAGGAGACTGAACTAAAGAAAAGAAGCAACAAGGCAAACATCAAAAGCCAGTCTTTAAAACAGGAGTTTCAAGTTTTAGTGTAATGATTTTATAGATGGGAGTGCCTTTTATAAATCAGGAGGCCTAGGCCAGGTGCAGTGGCTCACACCTGTAATCCCAGCACTTTGGGAGGCCAAGGCAGGTGGATCACTTGAGCTCAGGAGTTCGAGACCAGCCTGGCCAACATGGTGAAACCCTGTCTCTACTAAAAATACAAAAATTGGCTGGGCATGGTGGTGCATGCCTGTAATTGCAGCTACTGGGGAGGCTGAGGCAGGAGAATCACTTGAACCCAGGAGGCAGAGGTTGCAGTGATATGAGATCACGCCACTGCACTCCAGCCTGGGCAACACAGTGAGACTCCATCTCAAAAAAAAAAAAAATGAAATAAATCAGCAGGCCCGAAAAAGCACCGAAACTCGATCCATTTCTATTTCTCAACACTTCAATTGAGAGATACAAACTTGATGCTGCCTATAAAACAATGAAACTTTTGGGGGCATAGAGGAACATTTCAAATAGTATTCAGGCCAAAATACAGGCATGTACTAAGTACACAGGAATACATAGTAATTAAATTTAAAGCTAACATCTGAAAACATCTGTGAATTGTTTAGATGAAGATGTTTTAAATTACTCTAAATTCTAAGTCAAAGGAAATATTTAACTACCCATTCTTCAAAGTACCGAAATTTCACTTAAGCCTGCGCTGGTCTCAGTTAATCGCAGGCAACTTTCTCTGCTGTAGGTTTCAATGGTAATTAATTCTTGGTGATCACTATAAGCAGAAGCAGGGAGAACCTTGTTCTTGTCTGCCCTTCCCTTCTGATTCCCCATAGTTGCTGTTAGCATTTTAAAATGTAAGTGTATATTCAGGACTGTGATGTTTGTTTATATACAAGTGTGCTTTCTCGAGTGGGAATAAAATCACTGCAGATGCAGACTCCTGAGTTATATTCCTAAGCGTACATCAGCAAATGAAAGCTGTTTGTCTCAGTGTTTCAAAAAAAACGGTTCATAACTATCAACCCAGCAACAATCTGAAGATGCTTATAAGGCACCTGAAATTTAAAGAAGAACTTACCCAGAACACTCCACCATTCCAAGCACAACACTGGAAAATTCTACTAACAATACGTGGTTCACTGGAAAAGACCACATGTATTTAGTTTTTAAGGCATAAGTTATTTCCTAATTGTGATTCAGTAGTTCGTTTTATATCTTTTGTGGGTACTATATTATTTTTCAGTACCTCATGTTCTCCCAATGTTCTAATGTCAGTCAATGAAACCAAAAAATGGTCAGGCACAGTGGCTCACACCTGTAACCCTAGCACTTTGGGAGGCCAAGGTGGGCAGATCAACTGAGGTCAGGAGTTCAAGACCTGCCTGGCCAACATGGTGAAACCCTGTCTCCACTAAAAAATACAAAAAATTAGCCAGGCGTGGTGGTGCTCACCTGTACTTCCAGCTATTTGGAGGCTGAGGCAGAAGAATTGCTTGGACCCAGGAGGCAGAGGCTACAGTGAGCCAAGATTGCACCATGGCACTCCAGCTTGGTTGGGTGACATAGCAAGACTCCATCTCCAAATATATATGTATTTATTTATTTTGGGGGAACCAGTTTTTAAAAGAAAAATATTTTCTAAAGTCTGATGTTAGAAAAGATGAAAAGAGAAAGTGTGGGGCAGGGGTTCCTATTAATACATAAATCCACACAGGCTTCCCTAGAAGTATCTATCAAACCAAATAATATTTTGTGATTCTCTAGTCAGCATTCTGATTTAATGCCATGACATTTTTAGCAAGGATTATTGTTAGACTCTAGTTTAAGTCAATGTTGTGGGCAGAGGGGAAGTCATTTGCAACATTTTTCTGGGAAAAAGCACAAAAGAAATGACCTGATACTGAAATGTCAAGTCACTACGTAGGGTCTTCCCTCCCTTGGACATTTTGACATCAGGCATGCACTCCTTACCTCTCTTGCTTCCGCTCTATACTCTGGGCTCTTCTCTGTGCCAAGACACTACTTGCCCTTCTTCGACGCTGCTCCTCTCTCTTCTGCTGGATTCGAGCATCTAGCTTTGAGATGGTACAAATACCCCAGATGGAGTCTTTGATTCCCTACAGAAAAGGTTGTTGTTATTATTATTATTATTATTTGAGACAGGGACTTCCTCTGTCACCCAGGCTACAGTGCAGTGACTCAATCACAGCTCACTGCAACCTCCAACTCTTGGGTTCAAATAATCCTCCTGCCTCAGCCTCCCAAGGAGCTGTGAATACAGATGTGCACCACCATACCTGGCTAACTTTTCAATTTTTCTTCTCTAGTGATGAGGGTCTCACATGTTCATCAGGCTGGTTTCAAACTCCTGGCCTCAAACAATCCTCCTGCTTTAGCCTCCCAAAGGCTAAGAACTCACTCATGCATCCATCCCCCACCCATGTACTGCATATCTTCAATAAGCTATATATTGGTCATATGGAAATGCTCAAGAAGCTTATAACTTAGTAGAAAAAGCACACAAGTAAACCAAAAAATTACATTATAGGTTTTTTAAAAAAAAAAATGTTTTTAAAATATGAAAGATTTCATGAATTTGCATGTCATGCAAAGGAGCCATGCTAATCTCTGTATTGGTCCAATTTTAGTACATGTGCTGCAGAAACAAGCACACATAGTTTAATAAGTACCACAAGAGATGTACGGCCCAAGTAGAGTGTCAGCACTGGGGTATTCAACTTCATTAGAAGGCAGATAAAGTTACTCTGGAAGCAATGGCCAAGCTGGATTTAAGAATGGATGGCATTCTTGCCTACTGTTATTAAGCAAGACAAATTTTTGAAATAATAGAGAGAATACAGAGAAATGGGCAAGTTTATGTATTATCTGCTGACAGGAGCATAAGTTGGCACAATGTGCCCTTGATCTTTTTTATCTGAGTAATTTTACTCAATTTTGCTTTTAGCTTCTAAATCTTCCAACATTAATTTTTTAAATCACAAAACTCCATCTATCTAAGATAGTTAATTCAAATGGCTGAGGGCCTAGTACATGCTAGGATTATAGGATCCCCACCTCTAAGACATCTACAGTACGGTGAGGAAGACAAACATGTAAACAGCACACTGTAGAACTGTAAAACCAACACAAGGCTGAATTTTTTTTTTTTAAACCAGAGTTTTGCTCTGTCGCCCAGTGCAGTGGGGTGATCTTGGCTGGCTCACTGCAACCTCCGCTTCCTAGGTTCAAACAATTCTCCTGCCTCAGCCTCCTGAGTAGCTGGGATTACAGGTGTGTGCCACCATGCCTGGCTAATTTTTTTTTTTTTGTATTTTTAGGAGAGACAGGGGTTTTGCTATGTTGGCCAGGCTGTGGGGGTTGAAATTTTATAGCACACAAATGGCAAGACAACAAGGTAAAGGTGTTAAAAGTAGATCATATGCAGCTGGGCACAGTGGCTCACGCCTGTCATCCTAGCACTTTGGGAGGCTAAGGAAGGTGGATCACTTGAGGTCAGGAGTTCAAGACCAACCTGGCCAACATGGTGAAACCCCCTCTCTACTAAAAATACAAAAATTAGCCAGGCATGGTGGTGCATGCCTGTAATCCTGGCTACCTGGGAGGCTGAGGCAGGAGAATCACTGGAACCTGAGAAGTGGAGGTTGCAGAGAGCCAAGACTGTGCCACTGCACTCCAGCCTGGGCAACAGAGCAAGACTCTGTCTCAAAAAAAAAAAAAAAAGTAGATCATATGCATAAAGTATTTTTAGACCTTCTAAGATATCCTTTCAGTCTTCCCTCTTCTGATCAAAAGTAGTAACCTTTTTACTTTCTCACTCTGCTAGAGTGCACTGGTACCATCATAGCTCATTGCTGCCTTATAATCCTGGGCTCAAGCAATCCTCCCTCGGTCTCCCGAAGTGCTGAGATTACAGGTGTGAGCCACCTCCTCTGGCCATAGAGGTAACCTGTTAAACTCTCCCACTAACCTCCAACAATTGGCCTCTCTCATGCTAGTGTAAATCTAAAAAGAGGAGGGTAACAACTGGGACATTACTAGACTTCAGACATACATTAAAAGTTGCGGACTTTTGGGCTATTGGTAATTTGGATGACTGGGTCCTAAACAGATCTTTATAGGGCATTTTCCTAGAGCATCCCCCTCACCTGCACAGCTTGTAGAATGGGAAGAAGAAAAAGGTTCTGGCTGGGTGCAGTGGCTCATGCCTGTAATCCCAGCACTTTGGGAGGCTAAGGTGGGCAGATCACTTAACCAAAGAGCTCAAGACCAACCTGGGCAACATGCCAAAACCCCATCTCTAGTTTAAAAAAAAAAAACAACTTTTTTTTAATATATGAAAAATTAGGGGGAAAAAAGATAGGTTCTCTAATCTAAATCTGAATTAATTAGTTTAGGTAATAGTACTGTACCAATGTTCATTTCGTATAGTTTTGACAAATGTACCGTGGTTATATATTAACATTAAGGGAAGCTGATGAAGGATATATGGGAACTCTCTGTACTACCTTATAACTTTTCTGTAACTCTAAACACATTCCAAAATAAAAAGTTAAAAAAAAAGAAAAGCTCTGAAGCCAAGATGACCAGGGTCCCAATACTAGAGACATTCACTGAAGAGGTCTTCCAAACACTTGCGAGAGTGCCTGCAAGATGTGGAACGATACCTATCTCTTGAGTAGTGTGCTCTAAAATAATAACCAGTATGTAAAGAACCCAAGAAATATGACAAAAGTTCCAAAAACCCCACAGGATTTTCTAGATAGTTCCTTCAGCAAAAAAGGCCAAGAGATGAATTCCTAGAAACAAGATGTACTCACTCTGGCAAGGTCCTGGAGAAAGGTTTTGACACTGTCAGCCATCTCTTCACCACCAAACTATCAACTATACAGAGGAGAGAGAAGTATCCCCCAATCTCTCATCATGAAGGACCTGGAAACTGATGGAACAGAATGGGGGCAAAATATTTATTTTAAAGATAAGTTACTTCATGAACATTTCCACTTGATTACCTCACATACTTACAGCTCTACTAAGATAGCAGTAGATATTAGCACTAACAGAGTGAATCAAGTAAAGCTATTCTTGTACAGCTGAAACCTAAAATCCCTAATTTTTTTCAAATGCAGTCACCAACATTTCATTTTTACATGGGGTATATGTGGTCTTGACAGTAAACCTCCTCTGACCCTCAATGCCCCTAACTATCCCTCCTATACATTCTAAGCACTGTTGAGGGTTTGGAGATGGATGATAATTACATTTCAATATCCTCTTAAGCAATTTTTATGTTTGCTGGATACCTTCAAATACTTGAATGAAAATACAAGAGCAAGATAAAAGTTCTTAAAAAAATTACTAAACACATGCTTCATTCATACAGAGCTCTCAGGCACACATGAAAGTTTAAGGTATGACATGAAATTGCCTACAAAAACTTCCAAATAGGTATTCTCTGTTTTCTAACTTTAAATATATACAGATATAATTTTAACATGCAATAAACAGTGGATTTTAAACTAAGCCTCAAAAAAGTTCGCATGTATAAACAGTCTTTAAAACAGTAAGGCTTTCCCATTTTATGTCTCAGGTGAATAGGATATCTAGTTTCAAAAATTAAGAATTTGAGAGTTCATGTGTATAAATACTTCTTTTTTTTTTTTTTTTTTGAGACGGAGTCTCGCTCTGTAGCCAGGCTGGAGTGCAGTGGCATGATCTCGGCTCACTGCAATCTCCACCACGTCAGTTCAAGCCATTCCCCTGCCTCAGCCTCCCAAGTAGCTGGGATTACAGATGTGCGCCATCACATCCAACTAATTTTTGTACTTTTAGTTGAAACAGGATTTAACCATGTTGGCCGGGATGGTCTCCTTCTCCTGACCTCGTGATCCGCCTGCCTCAGCCTCCTAAAGTGCTGGAATTACAGGTGTGAGCCACCGCACCCAGCCATAAATACTTTTCATATACTATTCTCATATTTAATGTAAGATGACTTTTAAGGTGAATAGAAAACCCACTTTCAGGCATTTTTAAGAACTTAAGATTCTAAAGTTCTCAACACTCACTAAACCAAGTTGCAGTATTCTCGGTTTATGAGGTATGACCATAATACAATGATGGAATTTCACAAGCAGCTTGTACAAACCTTAAATTTCAAAACATAAGCACACTTTCCCCGACCTTTAACCACTTCACCAAACTGCTCCTCAATGACCCATCTGGACTAATGCCATTCAGAACTGGAAGAGCAGGGGATATGGCAGTAAGAAGGCAATTTGCACAACACTGTATGCCCTCTGCTTCTTAGGTCAAATCCTGCACAGATGGGCTGACTTCAGATAGATGTCTCTAGGGTAAGAAACTTCTGTTAATACTTCCCACTGTTCCCTCCTGAAAACAAACACCTCAGAGTTCCAGCCGCGTAGGTACAGCCATATAGACATGTTCTCAGGGTTGTGGTGAGGGCAGCTGAGCTAGATGACTAGCAAATGCTCAGTGATATGCAAGACACTAGTTTGTAAAGGCTCACAAATCCACTCCCTTAACTTGCTCATCTATAAATTAAGAGTACTAAACTTCATAGGTTTCTTGCATCCAATAGAGCAAAACAGCATGAAAAAAACTTAAAACACAACCTCACGAAAGTGAGCCAGCTTGGAGGTTTAAGGAAGCCCATTATTTGGCCTGGATTTCTCACAGGTAACTGACAGGGAACCTGAAACATTCTGTCTCAGTCCGCAACAGCTGTGTCATTTGATCCCTGGCCAGCTAACACCTGGTTTCTGCATGTACCAAGTGTCTGGGCACCTCCTGACCAAGAGTGGCCTATGAAGGATAAATCATTTCACTTTTATACTTAGATCCTAACATCCTTCCTACAGGAATATTTGGTGAATTACCCAATCTGCCAGATAACTGAGGCATGGAGGAAGATAACTTGCCACAACTGAGATCACACACAGAGACTGACACGGGAATCCTGCCGCTGAGCTAGATAGATGAAGATGCATCTGGTTCATTTAACAGGTGAAAGAACCAAGTCTCAGAAATTAAATGACTTGCCCAGACTGACAGCAAATGAATGGCAGCGACCGTGAACCTCAGAACCCTGGTGTCCAAACACCTAACATTACCTCGGTCGAACTTGTTTTTACTTAAGCTCTGCAATGAAGATTTTTGTTTTAACACGACCATTCCATGGACAAACAACCTCTCAAACCCGGAAACACAAATGCCATTAAATTCCTAACAGTCATTAGAAGCTTGTAAGCATCTGCTGAGGCACAGTCTTGCACTTTCATTTCTAAGTCGCTAAACCCAAGTCTCACAAGCAGGAAGCTGTCACAGTCCACTCCAGGTACAGGTAAGGAAAACATCCTCACTTCCCACGGGGCTCCACTGGCTGCCTCCCGAGTCCGCGGGTCCACTCGGGCCCGTCTCCTCACAGCTCCGAGGCAATTCGGCTGAAAACTGGTCTCCCTCCCTAGGCACAGCTGTGCACGAGGTGCGGACCACGCACACTCCGGGTCACACGGGGAGCTAAAGATAGCCGCGCCGCACCTGGGGCAGCCTCGCCCGGGGATGCGCCCAGCTTCTGGCCCCGTCCGGCTCCATCCCGCCCCTTCCCGCGAGGGGTCCTCGTCGGCAGCCCCACCAACCCACGCTCGGGCCCTGCCTGCCCTCCGGATTCCATCCGCTCAGTCTGGGCGGAGCGGCGGCCCCAAGGCCTGGCTTGACGAAGCCCGCACCTACCCGCAGCTCCGCCGCCGCGGTTCCAGCCCGGCCCCTTGCCCACCGCGGGCCAGCTCCGCCGGGGCGCTCCCAGGGCCGGGGCCGCTGCGCCCGCACTGGGCATGCCCGGGCCGCACAGGGCCGCTGGGAAGTCGGGCGGGCGCGAAGGACCCGCCGGGGCGACGGGGCGGGGCCCAGAGCCGAGGGGCCGGGCGGCGCGGAGCGACGGAGACTGGGAAATGTAGTCAGTTCGGGGCCGCGCCTCGCGCAGCGTGCGGGGTCTCCAGCTTCCCGGCTCCGCCGCCAGGCGGAGAGGACCCCTCACCCCTCTCCGTCGCGTCCTCGCGGATCCCGTTCTCGCTGAACTCTCCTCCTGTTCTTTGCCTGCCGCCGTTGACGCCACAGCCTGCTTGTGTTTTCTAAAATCCTGTGAAATTAGTAACAGGAGAGCAATAAAATACAGAGGGGACCTTGGTTTACCTGATTACAGATTTCCTGTAGAAGTTACTAACAAATGATGGGTTCAAATCAAGCTTCACTCTCAATGATCCAGGATAGGACAAGCTCCCATCCAATTTGGCTGCATTATGTTTGTGTAATCTTATGGCAAAGGAGTAGTTGACATGAAACGAGGTAGAGAATCACTGTCCTCATCTCCATCCCACAAGTCCAGTTCCACCGCAGGAAAGGGCAGCTTCTTGGCGTGGAATTGGAAAGAAGGCAAAGTTTTACCTTCCCCCTTTTAGGGGTTCTCCTCTGGGCCTGAGCATTAAACTGACATAAGATAGATTAACAAGAGAAAAACTGTGAGGAAAAACTCAAACCGTTTTTCCCTACTCTCACACCAACATGGTCAACACAGAAGAGTTTTGTGATCAAATATGTGGGGTTTTTTTCCCCCACACCCCAAGCAGTGGACACCAGCTGGGTGTCCCCTAATTCAATTCCATCCTGATGCTATTTTCTGGAGGTGGTCTCAGATCCCACAGACTGAGGGCTCAGTCCCCAAGACTTTACTCTCCCCTTCAGACACCAGTCACAAGTTTAGGTACCCTGAACTAACTAACGGGTTTCAAACAATTTGGGGCTCCAACCATCCACCCTCTGGGTTACATTAATTTGCTAGAGTGGCTCAAAGGGAGATATTTACATTTACTGGTTTATTAGAAAGACTCTTTAATAACTGCACTCCAGCCAGGGAGACAGAGCAAGACTCCGTCTCAAAACGAAACAAAAAAAATAGTAATAATTCTTGCTCCAAAGTGATATAATTTGGAGTGGCATTTTCTCCTATCCTTCAGAACACCAAGCCTCACCTACAACCTTTTCTCCCTTATTCCCAACCTGTTATATCCATCCCATTTCTTTTTTCTACCACCTCTGGCTGTGCTTAGAGATACTTGTGTTAGAACCACCTACAGAATCTGACTTTTTTTTTTTTTTTTTTTTTTTTTTTGAGATGGAGTCTTGCTTTGTTGCCCAGGCGGGAGTGCAATGATGCAATCTCGCCTCACTGCAACTTCCACCTCCACCTCCTGGGTTCATGCAATTCTCCTGTCTCAGCCTCCCAAGTAGCTGGAATTACAGGGATGCACCACCACGTCCAGCTAATTTTTTTTTTTTTTTTTTTTTTTTTTTTTTGGTGGTCTGGAGCAGGGATGGAGTCTCGCTCTTCACCCAGGCTGGTGTACAACAGCACGATCTTGGCTCACTGCAACCTCTGCCTCCCAGGTTCAAGGAATTCTCCTGCCTCAGACTCCAGAGTAGCTGGGACTACAGGCTTGTGCCACCATGCCTGGCTAAGTTTTTTATTTTTAGTAGAGACAGGGTTTCACCATATTGGCCAGGCTGGTCTCAAACTCTTGACCTCATGATCCACCTGCCTCAGCCTCACAAAGTGTTGGGATTACAGGTGTGAGCCACCGTGCCTGGCCTTTGTGTTTAGTTTAGTTTTGTTTTTTTGTTTGCTTGTTTATTTATTTTTATGACAGAGTTTTGCTCTTGTCCCCCAGGCTGGAGTGCAGTGCAGTGGTATATGGTCTCAGCTCACTGCAACCTCTGCCTCCCAGGTTTAAGTGATTCTCCTGCCTCAGCCTCCCAAGTAGCTGGGATTACAGGTGCCTGCTACCATGCCCAGCTAATTTTTTTATTTTTTCTAGAGACAGGATTTCACCATGTTGGCCAGGCTGGTGTTGAACTCCTGACCTCAGGTGATCCACCCGCCTTGGCCTCCCAAAATGCTAGGATTACAGGCATGAGCCACCACACTCGGCCTAGAATCAGATTTTTACAACTAGAAGCTGTTTACTACAACCTTCATTGTGGGTGAACCATGTTAAGTGACTTAAACTGAAGCCCAGATGTTAAGGTCAATAGCAGAACAAATACCCAGACCTCTCCTCTTTCCTCCAGTTCTGTGCACTAGGGAGGCGCCGGCCTCTTCACCTTAGCCTAGCATCCAGCCACGTTCCAGAAACTACTCTCCTACTCCCAGCCTGATGAAACCCATGTTCTCTTTAAGGAAGGGAATACTTAAAATTAAGACCAACAAGATTAGAGAAGGGAATGAAGGATTCAGAAGAGTCAAGAAAGATATGTAGAAGACCTGAAGTAAAGGATCAACCTAGGATTTATGCATGGACACTCCCGTAGGGAGGGGGCCTTTTATCTTGTTTGTGTCAGCCATGGGCAGGAATCTCATTTTCACTAAAAACAGAGCTAGGAATAGCCTTGCAAATGTCCTATTCTCATCTCATAAATGTATCCCTTTGTTTACTCCTTCACTAAAGTCATTATAAAGAAGAGACATTAAAATTTCTGTTTGCCTAAAGGAGTGAATCTCTATAACTATTATAAAGAACTACAATTAAATTTTTTTTTTTTTTTTTTTTTTTTTTACTTTTTTTGAGTCGGTGTTTGCTTGTTTGTTTGTTTTGAAACAGGGTCTCACTCTGTCACCCAAGCTGGAGTGAAGTGGCACGATCTCAGGTCACTATAGCCTAAACCTCCGGGACTCATTTGGTCCTCCCACCTCACCCTCCCAAGTATCTGGGACTACAGGCACATGCCAGAGCACCAGGCTAATTTTTGTCTTTTTAGTAGAGGCGGGCTTTTGTTATGTTGTCCTAACTCGTCTTGAACTCTGAGCTCAAGCAGTCTTCCTACCTTGGCCTCCCAAAATGCTGGGATTACAGAAATGAAGCAACATGCTCACGCCTGTAATCCCAGCACTTTGGGAGGCTGAGGTGGGTGGATCACTAGGTTAGGAGTTTGAGACCAGCCTGGCCAACGTGGCAAAACCCCATCTCTACTAAAAGTACAAAAATTAGCCAGGTGTGGTGGCACATGCCTGTAGTCCCAGCTACTTGGGAGGCTGAGGCAGGAGAATTGCTTCAACTCAGGAGGCGAAGGTTGCGGTGAGCCAAAATCACACCACTGCACTCCAGCCTGGGCAACAGAGCAAGACTGAGTCTCAAAATAAATAAATTAATTAAAATTAACAAAATAAAATAAGCAGCTGGGTGCAGTGGCTCACGTCCATAATCTCAGCACTTTGGGAAGCTGAGGTAGGCAGATCATTCAAGGCCAAAACTTCGAAACTAGCCTCCCAACATGGCAAAAACCCCATCTCTACTAAAAATACAAAACTTAGCTGGGCGTGCTGGCACACGCCTGTTGTCCCAGCTACTTGGGAGGCTAAGGAATGAGATTTACTTCAACCCAGGAGGCGGAGGTTACAGTGAGCTGAGATCATATCACTGCACTCCAGTCTGGGTGACAGCGTAAGACTGTCTCCAAAATAATAAAATAAAATAAAATCCATCTACTAAAGCTTAGAAATCTTGTTACAAAGAGATGTAAGTGGTTTAATGATAAACTGATTATTGTGCTATTGATTACAACAATACCTCTTCCTCCAAGCTCTATTCTTTCTCAAGAATGTGAATTTAGAAAAGATTTTAGAAAGAATTTAGTAGGTATGATTCTATTCTGGCTTACTTGATGGGAGGAAATCTTTTAAATCTCAAAATGTATAAACAAATTTAAAATGAAAACCAATAATAAAAAATACCTTGCATTTTTATTTTATTTTTTGAGACAGTTTCACTCTTGTTGCCCAGGCTTAATGGCACAGTATCGGCTCACTGCAACCACCACCTCCCAGGTTCAAGCAATTCTCCTGCCTCAGCCTCCCAAGTAGCTGGGATTACAGGCATGTGCCACCACGCCTGGCTAATTTTGTATTTTTAGTAGAGATGGGGTTTCACCATGTTGGTCAGGCTGGTCTAGGACTCCTGACCTCAGGTGATCTGCCCACCTCAGACTCCAAAAGTGCTGGGATTACAGGTGTGAGCCACTGCGCCTGGCCTAATACCTTGCATTTTTAAAGAGCTCTCACATACTTATGTATGATTAGATACTATTTGTGAGACAAAAAGAGGATGATATTATTTTTCAAATTTCACAAATGAGGAAGTTTGTGGCAGAGCACTTAACTAAGAAGACTTGATCTCCAGTTTAGCAATGAACCTTAGTTTCTTTAACACAGGCCGCTAAAATAAATGGTATATGTATGAAGATGTTTTCTAACTCTATGGATCTATGATTTAGTGAACTGGTAACAATACTAGATCTAGTGATAGTGACAGGAGGCAGCCAAATGCCTAAGCAGATAGAGGCGGGTCCCCAGTGAAACCTCTCCTCCAGGCCCAAAACAGTTTAAAGCCCGAAAGCCAAGCTACAAGTTAAATACTCAGACGAGACTGAGAACTTGTCTTCCTGTTTAGCATGCTTTCCTCTGATTGATCCCGACCCTTCATCTATTTTACATATGCCTATCCTTTCTTGATTGGTTTTCTACACTGTCATGCCCACCTTTGAGTGGTGTCTTTGCTTTAGTCACAAACCAGTCATCAGCACACACTCCCCATCCTGTGCCTATAAAGAAGCCAGACTCAGTCAGTAGAGGGGGAGACGGCCTGACTGTGTCAAAGACTACCTGCCCTTCTTGTCCTTTCTCCAGCTCCCCTCTCTGTAGACAGTCATTTTCATCAATCAAAAAAATTCTCTGCCCTCAATATCCCTTTTTTTTTTTCAAGACAGTGTTTTGCTCTTGTTACCCAGGCTGAAGTACAATGGTGCAATCTCAGCTCACTGCAATCTATGCCTCCTGGGTTCAAGTGATTCTCT